CTCAAAGAGAGAAGTGGCCCATCTTGTTATGTACTATCATTGATTTAACCTAGCTGATGCACCATTTTGCACAGTATTGAAAGGATCCAATGAAAAGAAAGACGAAGGGTTGGACAGGGGGTGGGGCATAGATATTAACAAGAAACCTCCACTAATATACAATTTCTGGGACTTCCTTGGCTTCTCTAACACCGAAAAAGAGATAAAATTGTATTTTAATCTTAAAGCTGCAAGATCTTTTGGCTAACCGTTTTAGTCTCCGCTAAGATAACATAGATATAGGTAAAAGCAAATTTCGATCCCTCCGTCTACCCACCCATCCCCCCCCCCCTCCTCCAATTTTTAAAATAAATTATAAGCGTATTTCTCATATGACGTCACGGCGGCTCAAATGTAGCACAACGGAGAGAGGGGACTCCAGACTGGCATGCTAGGTCAATGAAGTTTTAAATGAATGACTGAAGTTCTACGTTTACCCAAACTTAATCTATCTCCGTGATTATTTTGCGAGTCATCGTTATATCCATCTAAGCGTCTTGGCCGCCCACACAAAGTAAATAAGCATACAGTTATTTAAAAAATTAATATTTTTTGTGAAGTGTTTTACGGCCCTCGCAACTGCATAAGGTCATATGAGCGCACGGGACACACCTAATATTTTCAGTTAGTAGGAAATTTTGAATTTTGCCCGGGTGGTGGCCGAAGCCTACTCTTATCGATTTTAGACCACCAAGGGATCTTTAACGTGCGCAACTTGCACACAGGCCCTCCGAGATTTTCGTCCTTGTCCGAGAAGACTAGGTGTAGATCTTTCCTACCAGAAGATCAGGGGTGTGGCAGAAAGACAGCAGTAAGGAGGAGCCAAGGAGTAGCAGTAGAAAGGCTGCAGAAAGAGTCAGGAGCCCAGAGGAGCGGGCGAAGGAGGTGAAGGGGTGAGGGCAGAACGTTGAAATGAAAGCAGACAACAGAACATTGCTAGAGAGCAGGAAAGGAGGTGAAAGGAGACAATTTTAGAGAAGAACATTTTTTGGTCGCTACCCGGATTCGAACCCGGAACCTTTGAATGAGAGGCCAACACCTTAACCTCTAGACCACGAGACCCCCCAAAAATAAATAAATAAAAGTTTAATTAAAACTATGCGCGTAATTAATTTTTTTAATGGCATTAAAACGATCAAAAGGAAATCAGAAAGGATAAGAAATTGCAGAATCAGCGACAAGAAACAATCTCCGAGAGGAAGGTCGTCGGGTACGAACACAGCAGCCATTAATAGACAGCGGTGAAACATCGTGGTGAAATCAGGCGCTCGTGAAAATAATGAAATCGAAGAAACCGGCACTTTTTCCGACCGTTCAGCAATATTTGTCGAATTTTTATTTTATTTCTGGCTCAGCAACTTTTTCGTTTATTTAAAAACACATTTAAGCGTGAAATTTACTGAAAATTGTAATTACAGGCATACAAAAATGGAAATTTATAGTCTCCGATGACTCTGAAGCTTTTGAAGTCACGAAACTTTGGGCGGCCATTTTCTCCTTCAATCGCAATTATCTCAACGTCTATTCAAAACAGATGTGTGTGTGTGTGTGTTGTTGTTTTTTAAATAGACAAGTTAACCAGCTTTAAGATTATACCAAAAACCTCACATGCCCCAAAATTGCCGAGCGCCTGATTCCACCGGGCTGTAACATAGGGAGATGTTGCGGACCAGTATCGCCTGTATATAAAGTCTGTGAGTGGGTGGTTGGAGGGTGCTCTGGTATGATTTGCTCTTTCTTTCCTATCAAACATCTATCGTCCTTAACTTTACTCTCCTACTTTTTTTTTGATGTTTGTTACTCTCTTTAACGCCTCATACCTTCGGCTCTTTAATTTTGACCTTATTGTGTTGCAAGTGCCGTGAAGCTCTTACAACCACTAAAACTCTGTGAGATTAATACTTCAAAGGCAGGGTCTCAGAATACAGCGTCTATGTCTGATATGACTAATTTATTAGTGCAGGGTATGGACAATTTCTTCAATAAGTCAAGTTTAATTTATTCATTGGTGGGTGGACGTATGCATTCTCTTGCGAGCTCCAAAACTGGTTTGCCAACATATTCTTCTATTGACCCATAAGATTTAACTAATGCTGTCTTCATCCTTAAATAAGGGGAAATGTATTATAGCATTCTTTGAAAATCTTTTGAATAAACCTTTCATCTTGTCTATGCAAATCGTTACCTTAGAAGTACAGGTCCATTCTGACATTTTTAGTCGTTTTGAGTTACTAAGAGCATGAGGTCAGAAACCAAATGTTCTATCTGCTATGCTCTGTTAAAATCGTCAGATTGTTCAGTCTTCGTCAAGATATTCAAAGACTTGCACTCAGAAAAAAAAAAAGCTTGACATGTGGTGAAAGTCATCATGTTTAACGTCACATTTCTCAAAACTAGGTACTGAGCAGATAGAACTTTGTAATTCTGGGGTAGCGCAATGTCAATAAGAATTTCGCAGCAA